GGGGTGTTGTAGCATTAACTTGATTGGCCGTAACCGTAGCTTAGCCATCACTAGTGAGACCGTCGCATTATAAGGTATCACTACGGGATACCGTGGTTGCCCGTAACAGTGTCCTTGGCGTGAATGGCATGGTCCTTAATGAAACCGTGTCCTAACCTTGTTGAACCCTTCAATAATCTTGAAACAACCGTTTTGTTTGTTTTTTCGCGCCAAAAAATCGTATTAGCATTACGATTTTTTACGGTTTATAAAATCGGGGTGATCCGTTGCAATCCGTGTCTATTACCTTGACAGTGTGACCCAGCCTTAAAGACGTGAATCTACGTGTACGTTTATCAACAAAATCTACTGTTCACGTTTTATTACAGACAGATAAACTTAGATTAGCATTCGTAAGCTATAGTTAACAATCGTTAAATATAGTTTTACAGATGAAAACTATAGTTAACGAATTGTTAACTATAGTTCACGGTTTGTAAACTATAGTTTACAGTCGATAAAACTAGTTTATCAATTGTTAAACTATGTTTAGCTAATATTTGACGCCATATATATAGAAAAGTAAAGCAATATAGTAAATCTAAAGTTCGTCATATTTGTATGGAAGCATTCTCAGATAGTGTAGATTCAAGTTTCTTCAAATCATGACCCCAGGGGCAGGTTGGGGGGACACTGGACGATCAAATTTTTACATACAAGTTTAAAGGGAACAAAATTAGGGGTAGGTCGTACTGGACTACTAGTGCATTTTTTAAAAGCCTTCAATGCTAAACAAATTTTTAATTTTTTTCATAGTCACAGTGCTCAAATGAGCAATGTGGACCTTGGGCGTTAGTTTCTTGTTTTATTTTTACTAATTTTTTAAATCCACGAATTCTACTAAAGACATAACTTTACAATACATGTATATATTTTTCTAATTTTTTAAGAGAGAGAAGGGAAACTTAAGGATAGAGAAAATCTACAGAAAAATATTAAACAAGAAGCCCATGGTCCACATCGCTCATCTGAGCACATAGGCTAGTTAAAAAACACAAATCAGCTCATTATTGAACAGTTTACTTGCTGGGGAGGGGAATTTGAATTTTCGATTACTTGAGAATGTCACTATAATATCAATAAAGTAATCAAACCATATTTGAAAAGATTTTTCCAACATATTACACGATCTCCCATTGTGACTCCTTGCTAACCCCCCACCCCACCCCACCCCGGGACATTATTTGAAATTTAAATCTTCACTATTTGCAGATGCTAACATGTCAATTCGACTGAACAAAACTTTTCTGTTCTGCCAGAAAAATATTTTTTTTTTCATATATATTCCTATGCAAAACTTTGATCCCTCATTGTGACCCCGCCCTACCTTCGGGGGTCATAATTTTAACAAACTGGGGTCATAATTTTAACAAACTTTAATTTAATCTACACTACCTGAGGATGTTTCCATATGAGTTTCATCTTTCCTGGCCCAAATGTTATGGAGGATATGATTTTTGAAAAATGCCATTAATTTTTCACTAATTCACAATTATCTCCCATTGTAAAAGGGATTGGCTTTTTCCTATATATTCCTATGTTAAACCTTGATCAGCCATTGTGGCCCCGCCCTATCCCCTGGGGACATGATTTGTACAAACTTGAATCTGCACTACCTGAGGATACTTCCACATGAGATTCATCTTTTCTGGCTTAATGGTTCTGGAGAAGAAGATTTTTTTATCCCTTTGAAGAGGGCTTGGTCCTTCATTTGAACAAACTTAAATCCCCTTCACCCATGGATGCTTTTTTGGCAAGTTTGGTTTAAATTGGCCTAGTGGTTCTTGAGAAGAAGTCGAAAATGCGAAAAGTTTTCAGACAGACAGGCTGATGGACAGCTAGACGGACTACAGACAAATGTGATCAGAAAAGCTCACTTGAGCTTTCAGCCCAGGTGGGCTAAAAAGATGCGAGAGGGACGGGAAATTTACATAGACATATTCTTCCAGAACTCACAGGCTTCGTCAACAATTAATATTACTAGTAACTGTGTCTGCATGATTATTGTAATGCATGATTATAGGCAATGTACTTATTTGCTTTATTTATTAATATCATTGCTAGAGGATATCATCCATTCAAGGAGAGTATTTTTTTCACTACTTGCTATATTTATAAAACATCCTTGAGAAGTGTTGATTCAAGTTTGTCCAAGTCGTTTCCCCCAGGAAAGTTGGCGAACATCTTTAAATATTTCTACTTGATATTGACATGCACATTACCTGTGACAAGATATTTCCGAGCATGTTATGATTTCTGACCCCTTGACCTTCATGATTGACCTTATTTTTTTTTTTTAAATCAACTTCAGTGATAATTTCTAAATATGACAGGGCGGCGTTCATATTTGACACAATGTCATAAAAAAAATGACATATTACCCACAAAGACACCGAAAGCTGGGGACCACAATTCTTTGAATTTGCTTGTTTTTCTTGCTCCTGCTGTTTGTTTTACGTGTATATCTGGTTTAATTTCTTTTGAGTTCCAGTGTGTATATATACATGCAATACCTCCTCCCTTCGATGGGTGATAATTTACTCATAAATAACAACAGTATTTCAGGATACATTTTTATTACATAATTATTACATTTGTTACATTATTTAGAACGCCAGTCATTGTCCCTCAGGTGTTTCAGTAATATTTCCAGTGACCTGAAAAAAAAAACAACAATATAATAACTACATTCGGCAGTGATTAATCTACTAGTATACAACTGTGTTACGAAAGATTTTAAACAAGAGTTATTAACAGTAACCATAAATATTACATTACTAGTTATATCTTTCTGGTTACAAAATGAAAGATAGACTCAATAACTATTGACGTATATACAGAGGATGTAGTGACGGTTGCTTTCCTGCTTACATGTGACAGAATTTTTAATAACGGTGTCTATAGTACTAAGAAATTGTCGCCCCGTTTTAATTTCGCCCTACTCACAAGTGGGTAAATTTAATATGGGGCGAATTAAAAGAAACAATGATCAGAATTATTCATTAAATAGAACTGCTTTTGGCCAAATTTAAAACGGAGCAGCAAAATTAATTATTTGCAAGTGCAAAAGGGCGAAAATAACATGGGGGAAAATAACCCTGTATACAGTAAAAATAAGGACGAAAATAACACGGGGGGAAAATAACCCTGCATGCAGTATATGCATTTAAAAGTTTATTTTTAAAGATACCTTTCTGTTTGCAAAAGATGAAAGTCACTTTTTTATTCCATCCACTCACAGCCAAATTTGTGATATAGATTGGGTCTGCATCGACATATTCCATTATCTTTCCGTATTTTACATTAGTTCCCTTTCCAACTTTGATTATAAGTTTCCCTTTGATCTCCTTCCAGGACACCCAGAAAGGCAAAAACTTATGGCAGCTTACAATATCTTTTTCGAGGTGTTCGTCCAGACATGGACCCTGCTTCTTATCCCGAAAGCAAGACTTCGTATTTTTCCAGCCGCCAAGAACGAGTTCATACAGAGGCTTGTAATCGTCTGCACCAGAGAGTAGGGCAATGGTAGCGTCATTGCAGGCTTGTACATAGAAATTGAAGCCGTTAAAACGACCATGCGATGCCAGACGATGACTTCCTAGGGTTTTATATTCGTACTTTGAAGGTGTGTAAATAATTACTGGTGCATGGGAATCTGCAAAATTTAAATAGGTACGTCTGTCCTAGTATTGCTGTTTATACGATAATCCTACTGATGTCACATTAAATCAGCAAGTGTCTGACAGATATCTACTTAAAGTGTCTATTTTCTAAAGTCTTCAAAAAATCTATATGTATATATAACTAGAGCAAAGCTCGTTGCAAAGCAACGAGTAGGTCTTCCGTCCTGTTTGACCGGAAGTAACTTTCATTTAAAAAAAAAAAAGAAGAGAGAAATGACGTCTCTAATGATTTAAATCTTCCAAATCTATCTTGAAAATTACAAAAGTAAGCCATTTTTCGCTACTTCCTGTTTGACCGGAAGTGACGTCGTCGACGGACGGAAAATTAAGTTCTATGCTTCCAGTGACAAATATTTTCCAAAAACATGTCAAAAACGGCAAAAATATGCAGTTTCGGACTACTTCCGGTTTGGCCGGAAGTGACGTCACAGGACGTATTTTGATGACATCAGTAGATTTTACTAGAGATTTTCAACAACTTTACTTCTTTGATGTATAATAAATTCTCAATACTTTTTGAGATATCTGGAAAAAACTTTTGGCCCCTCTAGATCCCTTAATTTAGGGGTCAGCCCTTTTTCTGAGATATCATTTGAAAGATCTCATAATTCTGCACAAATTATATTCTATATAGTTTAACAAAATATTTTTAGTTTAGAAGATAAAAAGCAAAAAATGAGTAATTTTTGGCTCTTTTAAGCGTTCTAATTTTTGACCCCTACATAGAGCCATTTTGAATAAAGGAATCGAAAAACAAAAACCGATGTGCACAACTTCAATCTTTCTCTTATCTAAAATCAGTAGAATTTCTGCTCCAGCTTTAGCCGTCTCTGAGCCTTTGTCTGGAAACGAAAGCCTATAAATTTTCGTTTAAAGGGAAATAACTCAAAACCGGAAGTGACTTTTTGAAATTTTAGACAAGATTCTGATAGAATTTAATAACGTCTAGAACCTCTGAAAATTTGAGCGAAATCAATCGAGAAATGAGTGAGATATGAGGCTTCAAAGTTGGCGTCTAGGAAGTAGAAGAAAAAAAAAGAACTAGCGCCATTTTTAATGCAAAAATCAAAAAACAGAAACCGATGTGCACAACTTCAATGCTTCCTCTCCTCAATTTCAAAGGGTTTTGTGCTCCAGTTATTACCTTTTCTGAGCCTTTGTCTGGAAATCGGAGGTATGAAAAATTCAATCAAAGGGCAATAACTCGTTAATAGAAGGTAATTTCCAAATTGTGAAACAGTATTCTAAAAGGGTTTTAAAAAGTCTAAAACCTCTGAAAATTTGAACAAAATCCGTTCAGGAATGAGGAAGATGTGAAACGTCAAAGTTGGCGTCTAGGAAAAAAAAAGAATAATAAGAATAATCTTAATCATCAGAATCAGTAGAGGGTCTTCCTTTGGAAACGGAAGACCTTAATAATAATCTTTACCAACAGAATCAGTAGAAGGTCTTCCGTTGGAAACGGAAGACCTTTCCAACGGAAGACCTTAAAAAGGGAAATGAAATTCTACGATTTTACCGGATCGAATGAAGCAATTCCATTAAAAGCGGTACAATTAATACAGAATTAATTATATGCATTTTATGTTCTCAGCACGAAAAACTTTTATATTTATGCCTTTACCTTTCTCATTTTTGCAAAAGTAGAAATCAGCCGAGGCCCCAAATCCACCACTGACCGCAAAGTACCGGATCTTGATCGGATCCGGATCAGTGTATGACAGGATCTCATCCGTTCCCACCACTTTGCCCTTACCAACCTTAATCGTACCTTTGTTCCAACTGACCCAAAAGTACCGAACTTCATCGCAGTGCAAGACTTTTCCATAGTGATTTGCCAAACATTTTGTTTGCTTTCCTGTTCTTAAGCAAGATCTTGTATTACCCCACCCGCCGATGACAATCTCATACAATTTTTTAGCATCATCCGTGTCTTTCTCGAGCAGTGCTACATGCGCATCATTACATGCTCTTACGGCCAAGACCAGACTGTCTTTCGAAGGACTATAGGAGTAGATGCCGTGCTTGCTGAGAGGTTGGTATTGATAGTACTTCGTTATCATGGATGATATCTCAATGGGCGCCGGTAAAATATGGCTTGCGTTGATAGTAAAATTGAATAAATGCACTTAGAGTATAACAGTTTTTTCATACAAGTTTTCTTTCGATGATATCTTTTTAAAGGTAACTATGTAATTATAGCAAGCCAGTAGTTAAATAAATAATTATTTAGAAATGATTATACTATTTGATAAAATAGTTGCTAAAAAGCACTAATTGCAGTTGAATTTCATGATATTCGTGGTAAAATATATAGGTATAATTCTACAGTCAATATGATGGTTAACTTACGTTGATAGTGTTTTCTGCGATTTTTCATCCAGCAACTGGTTGTCTGTGTAAAAACAAAAAAGTACTCTGACTTAGCCGTTCAGATTATTTTAAACTCTCAATGATTTACTAAAACCGCGTTTTTCTTCGTGGGTGGGGATTTTCTTTTTGTTTAAAAAAAATATTGAGGTTTTATTGACCACTAGAAAAGTAATATTTCCTTGACGGGGAAAAAAGAAAGATCGTGAAAATACATTTAAAGTTTGATGAGTAATATTTCAAAACGAAGGCAAAACCATATTTGATTTTCCCCAAAGTAAATATAATAATGTATTGAGTTGGTGATAGAGTAATGCATTTAAAATATCATCTTTACTAGACAAGGGTTTCCGATCCGAAATTTATTCTAAAGTAGATTTCGGATCGGAAACCCTTGGCTAACGAAAAAGGGAAAATATTGAATAGGTATAAGATTCGAATGAATGCGGGAGAATCTGATTTTTTAAATGCAATATTTATGTAGATTTTAAATCTTATTCGCTTTTAAGTTAAAATGCACAAAGACTGGAAACGATGGGTAAAAAATATAATTATGACTAAAGAATGTCTTACCTGTCCATACTGAATTAGGAGTACAACGACGAAAACTGTCCGGAAAAACATTTTATCCCTTTCCCTGAGTTGGTTCTCAGTGATTTGATCGAAGCTACTGTGGTACTTATACATGACAGTTTAACGTCAATCAGCCTTAGGTCCGACCCCCCTCCTCCTCCTCTGTTTGCCCTGGGGTTCCGAAACTGAACTAAACGACGTAAATGTATAGTCAAGTTTTCCAGGTAAAATGTAATTCGATTTTTTTCTGCGATATTATAGTTTGAGTTTTGTAAAAGGCTATATTTTACATGGACGCTTATTGTATGCGTAATAAAGTGTTCAAGGTTGTTTTCGATTTTTTAGTTCTTCCGGTACATCATGAATTGAAACCTTTTTGCCAAATATTGGTCAAAGCAAATACGGGTCGTTGAAATCGAGATCCGGGAGGGGGTAGTATTCTTGATTTTTGGGAGTTTTGTATTGGACAAATCAGTAAGAATTTTTCAAAAAAGGGAGACAATTTCTGTAATATTTTTTACTGATACGCCTTTCCTTTGAGATTCTCCCTTTTTATAGGAAGAAACTTCTTATTTCTTAGTAATTAAGACAAGTGTACGGTCAAGATTTACCGTGTAGCTTTGCAAAAAAGATATATACAGGTAGAAATGTTGACCAATAATTCCAAGAGATCATGTACATTGTAGGGTAAAGTTTACAAATAAAGTTTGTCATTGAACCCAACCTCTACCCCCATACTAAAATAGCGGGGTGGGAGTGGGGGGTATGACCACTAAAGATAGGCTAAGGATCATTGAAATTTAATAAGCGCATTAATAATTCCTTACTGATAGTATGCATATGCCAAGAATAAAAAACATGAAAACTGTTTCATATTAAATATTAATTTTTTTCTTTCATTTAAACTTAATTATTAATTTACGACTTTTCAAAAGAGTGGATTTTACTAAAATCAACAGCTTAATCACTTATGATTTTTCAACTTTATACACAACCATTCTCCACGATAAATTAAAGTTTTTCAGCTTCTTTTTCAATGAAAATGGAAATCGTAAATTAACGGACCTTGTTATTGGTTATTTGCAAAATTATTTTGTTATGAATTATTCAGATTGTACACACAAATACTCTAAATCTGATGTTGACATTAAAAAAGATGCTCGAGTTTCTAATTGACAATATCTATGATGTTTTTAGAGACCAGGTCTTCCAACAACCTGTTGGAATTCCCTGGTACAAATTGAGCCTCACTATTAGAAGACTTTTTTTTTATACATACGAAGCATATTTTTGTGCAAAATCTTTTGCGTGGAAAGAAGAAAACACTTCAAATCAACATTTAGATATATCGACAACATATTGTTAATTAACAATCATGGTATTATCCTGGTGAGCTTGAGCTAAAAGGTACCACAGAGTCTGACACATCTGTTTCATACTTGGGATATTTTACTTGAAAAGGACGTTAATGGTAATCTTACAACCAAGCCATATGATAAACGTGATGACTTTAACAGTTCTATCGTCAGCTTCTCTTACTGATGCAGCAATATACCTTCATCACTTGCATACGGATTTTATATATCTCAGTTGATTCGATACGCAAGAGCATATGAACAATTTCTAAAATGAGGTAAATTATTGACAAACAAGTTGATGAAGAAGGAAATGGGGATAACGAACAGTATTCAATATCAAAGTCCATAATGATAAAACAATACAAAATAGGAGCAGAGCAAACACAGACCTCCGAAACATCAGAGGTGGGATCAGGTGCCATGGAGTAGTGAGCATCCCCTGCTGACCGGTCACACCCGCCGTGTGCCCCTTGTCATGATCAGGAAATAACGGAAAAATCCGTCGTCAATTCAGTGTATGAATAATGGACTAACAATTAGTATGTAAAACGTCAGTCAGCATTTGACTAAATGATAAATTGTATTTGCTGACAAGGTCATTGTATCGACCATAGAACTTACAAAATGATGACTTTAAACAAGACTGCTGATATTATTGTTTCAACGACGTATTGTCAATTAACAATGGTAATTTTCATTCCTACGTCGATACGATATATCCTGTTGAGCTTGAGATAAAAGGTACCACAGAGTCTAACACATCTGTTTCATAATGGGATATTTTACTTGAAAAAGACGTTAATGATAATCTTACAACCAAGGTATATGATAAACGTGATGACTTTAAGGACATTGGCAACGCAGGGTTTCCGGAGAGAAAAGGTTTATACATAGGTTTTTTCACTTATGAAAAAAGTCATTTAGAGTTATCTCGCGTATGGAATTCTCTAGGCGCTGAAAACAAATATAGCATACGTTACAGATCAAGCAGCCACGGGTAGGAGAGAGCTACAGTGATGTGCCATAAGTGTTCGTCCAAATTCAAAATGGCCGCCGTAGTAACGAGACGCTTCGGAAAAATAAAACACAGAAATAAAATTATAAAATATTTTTTCTTACCTTAATACTTTGTTATATAGCCTTTTGACCTCAGAACTTTCTGTATTCGTCTTGGGATCGACCTGTATAAGCCCTGAACATAATAAATTGGGATGTTTATCCAGATACGTCGAATGGCTGCCTCCAGCTGATTTTTACACAAGAATATTTCGTTGCCGTTTTTCAGTTCTCTTTTCAGTCTCAACCAGATATTTTCAATAATGTTCAAATCAGGACTCTGAGCGGGCCAAACCATTGAATGAATATTATTCTGTAATTTATATTCTTGAACTACTCGGGCTCTGTGAATAGGGGCGTTGTCATCTTGAAATATATAGTTATTTCGAGGAAAATGGCGTGCTATGACTGGCCAAAGTTGATCTTCAATTATATCAATGTATTTTCTAGCATTAATGTTACCATCTACAACAGTCACAGTCCCTACACCGTTGAAAGTGATGCAGCCCCATATCATTAAACTAAACTTCGGTGTTGGAGGTTGCGAGAGACAACATGGCATCCACTCTTCGCCCACCTTTCTCCATATAAAAACACGGTTATCAGTCCCAACGTCCACTTTGCACTCATCACTAAAGATGACCCTGTTCCAATAATTATCTATAGTTTTGTATCTGTTTCCTCTACACCAGGAGAGCCGTGCTTTTCTGTTCACTTCGCGAATTCTTATGCGCTTTCGAACAACTCTTCTAAAATACCCCTGTTTGTACAAATTTCGCTGAACTGTCCGTTTAGATATAGCAGAGTCTCTATTTTCATTGAATAAGGCTGTTATGTCTGATAATTTTCTCTTTCTGTTTTCTTTCACCAACCTTAAAATGCTGCGACTGTCTCTGTCACTTAGCTTTGCCTGCTTCCCTTTCCTCGGTATGTTTTCTACACTTCCTCGCTTGCGATACCGGTCAACTACAGAAGTTATTGTAGACCGGGGAATTTGTAATCTCCTTGCTATTTCTGAATGTTTTAATCCAGACAGGTAAAGAGAAACGATGACTTCTTTAACATCAGTACTCAATTCTTTACGCACGGTAGCCATTTTGTTTACAGGGGAAATACACAGCAGACGAAAATAATTTTGCTACGTAATTGTGACACGTGACAGTCACGTGGATATGCTATGAATATATACTTATTTATTCAACTTTGACGCCATGGTTAAAAGATACAGCGTCGACGAAGTTATGTGAAAATGTAAAGTGACGTAATGAAAATTGAATTTGGACGAACACTTATGGCACATCACTGTACATGCGGACTCCGAATCGTGGCTTGAGACGATCATGGATCTAATGCAGGCTAATAAAGTAAAATCACTTTTTGCTTTTTGCTTGATTTATTTTACACTCTACATAAACATGCCCAATACTTTATATCGCGATTACTCAACTTAGCGGAACTCTTTTGCGATGAAGATAGGAAACGTCTGTTGGATGGGGACAAATGTGCTACTGAATACAATGCAAGATCGGTTATTGTAGAGTTTATAATGATAGATAAGTAAAAAATCCGGGTGGAATACCTTGCTTAAAAATCACTGAAATAGCCTAATTAATTTTTGAGACGAGCTAATCCCAAAATGTTATATTTTTAACGATATTTTTAACTAAGCGGACTTTTCTCATTAAATTTTCATTGAAAATCGTCACATTTAAAAGCTGATTCAATATTCCAAACTTTCCTTAATTGACAATCTACTATTTGGAGTCCAATTCTTGGCAATACATTGCACTTTCGGCATTAAATTGATCGAATCATTTGATTGTTACTACTGTAATCAATGTCATGTGTCCCCAAAATCCAGAGCTTTCTCGACTCTTCCGCAAAAGAGCGGTAGTAAGTTAGATAACTGCGAGGTAATTGCACGTATTACTATACCATTTTTTGACACAAATTCACCTTTATATATTTTAGTTTACTTATAAGTTAAAAGATTGAGATCGATTTCAACTCTTAAGCTTAGAATAGGCAATTGGTTTATTGAATATTTAGCTATACATTTGCAGTTAAAAGTTTTGATATGAGCACAGTATAATGTCCTTTCATTCATTTACAAATTTCAAGACGAAATTTTCAGTCGTATAGGCGTACACGTACCAAGTACGAGGGGGGGGGGGGGGAGTCCCTCCCCAAGCACCTGTGACCCCTTTAAGAAAGCAGTGCTCTGAGGAATAAGCTAAACATACAGTAAACAAACAAAATTTTGTGCCGTAAAAAATCAGTCAAAAATTCTGTTAATCTGGAATTTTGTCCTAGTAGTCAGCTTAGACACAGATTTTCATTGTCACATTTAATCCGGAAAAATTCTTGTTTACAGACTCAGTTTGGGACTTTACAATCTACAAAATGGCGAGGTATATTAGTGAACACAATCGCAACTTCTCGGGCCTTTCCGACAAGCGGAAAAACGACCTCGAATGTATATGGAAGACGCAATGACAACCCTCTTTTTTCATGATCTTTGAAATAAATGCATGGAGACCTTTTATCTGTATAATAAGAAATTTAACTTTATTCAATGTAATGATATTACCTAAAATATACTATAGAAGGGGCTTCTAACTTCGTCTATCCGATATTTGAATCAACAGGAAATGTATAAATTTTTAGTATCCGGTGATGTTAATATTTCCGACCTCTGACGGAAAGACCCGAGATGATGCGATTGTTGGTGGACATAGAACGTCCCAAAACGGAATGCATAAAACAGTGACGTTTTGTGGTTGCACATGCGCAGAAGTGCAAACATTTCAATATGGCGGAGGAATCAAAACGAAATCTTGAAAGGTGAATAAAATTGGTTTAAACTAAGCATTAAGTAACCCATCAATAGAGAAAAATAGATTGTTAAAACCTACAGGTAACAAACTTTTACAATATAAGGTTTATCTTTTTATTCATGACTCTGTAACCTAATAGTTAACTGCGAGCTCTAATGACAGCGCCTGGGCGAAGAGAAAATTCGGACTACTGCATATTCATTCGATAGATTTTTTTTTTACCGCAGTAATTTGGACCTACAATTCATCGCTTCATGAACAAAAGATAAAGCAACGTTCTCGCGAGAATAACAACAAAAGTTAAACAAATGATAAACTTGCTTTGATATGAATTTATTGCAGAAAAATAGTCAATAAAAACTGTTCTTAATTAAATCAGCCCTCTTCAGGGTTGGGTTTGTTAAAATATGCATACGAAGTCATGTGATGTCAGAGTATTATAAGCACCAAATGTCAGTTGTCACGTGCGGCTTGACGAGCCCAATCAAAATGAAAACGAAATAAGTATCTGTGCTCGCCCTTACGGTGGCACCGTCAACATATTATATATCTGTTTTATAGGACATGAGATGTCTGTTCTGAACAGGAGTATAGTTATTCGATACTGATATCTGTTATTTAAGACATGATCTGTCTGTACTGAACTGTTTATCATGTCATTATGGATATCTGTTATACAGGACATGAGACGTCTGAACTGAACTTGAGTACCCTCATTCAATACTGATATCTGTTATTTAAGACATGATATGTCTGTACTGAACTGTTTATCTTGTCATTACTGATATCTGTTATACAGAGACGTCTGAACTGAACAGGAGTACCCTCATTCAATACTGATATCTGTTACATGAGACATGATATGTCTGTACTGAACTGTTTATCTTGTCATTACTGATATCTGTTATCCAGGACATGAGATGTCTGAACTGAACAGGAGTACCGTCATTCAATACTGATATCTGGTATATGAGACATGATATATTTGTAATGAACTGTTTACATGAGATGTCTGAACTGAACAGGAGTACCGTCATTCAATACTGATATCTGGTATATGAGACATGATATATTTGTAATGAACTGTTTATCTTGTCATTACTGATATCTGTACTGATATCTGTTATATGAGACATAATATGTTTGTTTTGAACTCCTAATCATGTCATTACTGATATCAGCTGTTATACAAGACATGATATGTCTAAACTGAACAGGAGTACTGTCATTTATTACTGATATCTTTTATACAGGACATGTTATGTCTGAACTGAACTGGTTATCATGTCATTACTGATATTTGTACTGATATCAGTTATATAGGACATAAGATGTCTTAACTGAACAAGAGTACTGTCATTCAATACTGATATCCGTATCCGTACGCACTAAACAGACATATAACAGACACCATGACTGAATGATGGAACTCCTGTTCAGTTCAGACGTCTCATGTCCTGTATAATAGATATCAGTAATGACAAGATAAACAGTTCAGTACAGACATATCATGTCTTATTAAACAGATATCAGTATTGAATGATGGTACTCCGGTTCAGTTCAGACATATCGTGTCCTGTATAACAGATATCAGTAATGACATGATTAGGTGTTCAGAACGAACATATCATGTCTCATATAACAGATATCAGTACTGAATGACGGAACTCTTGTTCAGTTCAGACATACCGGGTATCATGTCCTTTATAAGAGATATCAGTAATGACAAGATAAACAGTTCAGTACAGACGTCTCTTGTCCTGTTTAACAGATATCAGTTCAGATATCAGTAATGACAAGATAAACAGTTCAGTGCAGACATATCCTGTCCTATATAACAGATATCAGTATTGAATGACGGTACTTCTGTTCAGTTCAGACATATCTTGTCCTGTTTAACAGATATCAGTACAGATATCAGTAATGACAAGATAAACAGTTCACTACAGACATATCATGTCTCATATAACAGATATCAGTATCGAATAACTATACTCCTGTTCAGAACAGACATCTCATATCCTATATAACAGATATAGGCCTATAATATGTTGACGGTGCCACCGTAAGATCGAGCGCAGATACTTATCACTGTGGAAAAGTCAGCCCAGGTTATCACAGAGGAAAAGTCAGCCAAGCTTATCACAGAAGAAAAGTCAGCTGAGCTTATCACAGAGATAAAGTCAACCGAGCTTATCACAAAGGAAAAGTCAGCCGAGCTTATCACAGAGAAAAAGTCAGCCAAGCTTATCAATGCGGAAAAGTCAACCCAGATTATCACAGAGGTAAAGTCAGCCGAGCGTATCTCAGAGGAAAAGTCAGCTGAGCTTATAACAGAGAAAGAGCCAACTGAGCTTATCACAGAGGAAAAGTCAGCCCAGCTTATTTCAGAGGAAAATCAGCCCAGCTTATCACAGAGGAAAAGTCAGCCCAGCTTATCATAGAAGAAAAGTCAGCCCAGCTTATCCCAGAGGAAAAGTCAGCCCAGCTTATCACTGAGGAAAAGTCAGCCCTGGTTATCACAGAGGAAAAGTCAGCCAAGCTTATCACAGAAGAAAAGTCAGTTGAGCTTATCACAGAGAAAAAGTCAACCGAGCTTATCACTGAGGAAAAGTCAACCAAGCTTATCACAGAGGAAAAGTCAGCCCAGCTTATCACTGAGGAAAAGTCAGCCCAGGTTATCACAGAGGAAAAGTCAGCCGAGCTTATCACAGAAGAAAAGTCAGCCGAGCTTATCACAGAGAAAAAGTCAGCCAAGCTTATCAATGAGGAAAAGCCAACACAGATTATCACAGAGGAAAAGTCAGCTGAGCTTATAACAGAGAAAGAGCCAACTGAGCTTATCACAGAGGAAAAGTCAGCCCGGCTTATCATAGAAGAAAAGTCAGCCCAGGTTATCACAGAGGAAAAGTCTGCCCAGCTTATCACAAAAGAAAAGTCAGCCCAGTTTATCCCAGAGAAAAACTCAGCCAAGCTTATCACTGAGGAAAAGTTAGCCCTGGTTATCACAGAGGAAAAGTCAGTCGAGCTTATCACAAAAAAGTCAGCTGAGCTTATCACAGAGAAAAAGTCAACCGAGCTTATCACTGAGGAAAAGTCAGCCCAGGTTATCACAGAGGAAAAGTCAGCCGAGCTTATCACAGAGAAAAACTCAGCCGAGCTTATCACAGAGAAAAACTCAGCCAAGCTTATCACTGAGGAAAAGTTAGCCCTGGTTATCACAGAAGAAAAGTCAGCCCAGCTTATCACAGAGGAAAAGTCAGCCCAGCTTATCACAGAGGAAAAGTCAGTCGAGCTTATCACTGAAGAAAAGTCAGCCCAGCTTATCCCAGAGGAAAAGTCAGCCATGCTTATCACTGAGGAAACGTTAGTCCTGGTTATCCCGGAGGAAAAGTCAGCCGAGCTTATCACAGAAGAAAAGTCAGTTGAGCTTATCACAGTGGAAAAGTCAGCTGAGCTTATCACAGAGGAAAAGTCAACCCTGGTTATCACAGAGGAAAAGTCAGCCGAGCTTATCACAGTGGAAAAGTCAGCTGAGCTTATCACAGAGAAAAAGAAATCAACCCAGCTTATCACTGAGGAAAAGTCAGCCCAGCTTATCCCAGTGAAAAAGACGTCACCAAACCTTGGATCATCACCAGATCCAGAATGTCTAGAGGTGTCAAGGAATCAAGATACTCCATTCATTACAGGGGAATCATTATCGCATGAGGTATTACATAAAATTTTCAAATTTTATGTACATGTAATTATTTATTCAATCTATAAATTGAAGCGGAAGGAAATTTTAAGATGTGCCTGTCTAAATTGAATATTTTTTGCTTTCTTTTCCCATATTTTTTTAAACTAGTATAATTGTTGTATGAAATCCTTACACAATATGTACATGTGTATGTAATAACAATGTGACTGTTCTACATTTCCCAGCTTCTGAAGGAAGACATTGCTGATGAATACATTAATAATGATAAGGAACCTGAAGATGATGATTACGATGATGATGATGATGATGGCCTGTTTGGCCCTAGAAAGCTCTTCTTCTTTGGTGTTGACTATTTTAAGGTAAAATTTATGCTTAATGACCTTAAATCCAAATTTTATTTTTATTTTGCTTGTGGATAAAATTATTTATTCATTATGGGTTATTTTTTATCTTAACTTAGTGTACATGTATTAAATTTGTTTTAGGGTGCTAAAAAATCCATTTGGTGAAAACAAACAAAAGCTTGATGGAAGGACAGAAAAATAGTTTGAAGGAAAACCTAAAAAAAAAATGTTATATAAATGTAATAAATGTCAGTTATTTACAGAATCAATTGTTAAATATTTATAATTTTATATAATCAAAATAAGGTACAGAGGTGTATTTGATATGTAGTACAATAACAATTACATGTGTACAGATTGTATGTAGAAAAACTTGGAATGACCATATACATGTTTGAAAAGAGATACAATTAAGAATTTGCCTGATAAATGAAGTGACAAGGCCTTGGAAATTGAGGGTTCTTGTCAAGGAATTTTTGCTTGGTAGTCCCGTTCACCTAAAAATGTTCGGTTGCGCAAAAAAGAAAAATACTATAGTAAACTAAAAATGTTTCCTTCCGGCCTGTCAGCTTAAAAGAAACCATTCAAAAGTGAACTTGAACAAACTTAAATTTGAACAAATTTGAATCTATATTAGCCAAGGATGCTTTCATGTAATTAATATCAATTAATGTTCTTGAGAGGATAAAAGATTTCCCCAATGTTTTCCTAAAATTTTGATTGCTTATTGTGGCTCCACCCTACCCTTAGGGATCATTATTTGAACAAAACTGAATCTACTTTATATCAGGAAGCTTTCAAATAAGTTTTGTCATTTATTTAGCTGAGAAGATTTTTAAATGATCCCACCCAATATCTACTTTTTTCTCCATTACTTCCCCTTTCAAGAGAGCATATGACCCTTCATTTGAACAAATTTGAAGCCCCTTTACCCAAGAATACTCTCTGTCAAGTTTGGATGAAAGAGGCCCAGCGGTTTTGATTAAGCCCGAAGAATATGAAAATGAGAAAAGTTTACGACGATAACAAACAACGGATAAAGTTTAGGTCAGAAAACGCACATAAGACTTCGGTTCAGGTGAGCCAAAATATGTTTTGTCAGATGAATAAAATAAAGTCGACGTGTATACAGTTGATATTGTTTTTGGGATATTTAACTCAACCAAAAAAAAAAATAATAAGAAATCTCTCTACCAACGCTAAGAGACGGATTTCCTTTCACATTTTTATCTTTTTCACCTTTTTTCAAAATTGTCATGTAAATTACAACATATGAAAAATGGTGATACACAAGGAAGTTCTTGTACATGTGCGAAGAGATTCGTGATCAATTTAGCCTTGTCAATTATTTGGAAAACAATGACAACTTGCGAAATGTAAGCAAAGAAGTGGTCCATGGGCCGCACCGTTCGCCTTAGTTACTTTGGCCCTGTCGTTCTTCACTAGACCCCCCTTATGGCCTCGCCCAACCCCATGATATCAACACTTAATTTAGGAACTACACGGCCCCAGGATACTTCTACAGAAGTTTCATCTTTTATGGCACGTGCAGACAATAAGACTTAAGTATATTCCCATATACATGTATATTTCATTGTAAAACTAAGCTCTTGTTTAGAGCCTCAGTCTATCCCTTAGGGAATGAGTTCAACAATTTCTAGAATTTATACTACCCCAGGATTCGTCTGCATAATTTTCATCTTTTCTTGCCAAGTGGTTCCTGAGAAGATTCTAAGATTTTTACGAAATATTTCATTGTAAAACGTTTACTCCTCATTGTGTCCCCATGGTAGGCTAGCACTGCAGGCCATGAATTGAACGATTTAGAATCTACAATTCCTCAGGAAGCTTCCACATAAGTTTCATCTTTTCTGACCCCTTGGTTCCATAGAGGAAATTTTTTAATGACACCGCCCTATTTTTGTATTTTTCTTGGAAGATTGCTTAGTCCTCTTATATAAAATTCGAAATTTCCTTTACCCATGGATTCGTAGCGCCAATTTTGGTTAAAATTGACCCATGCAGTGATTCTTGAGAGAAAGTTGAAAATATGAAAAGTGTACAGGCGGACAGATAGACAGAGAAAAACTCATTTGAGCTTGACAAATGATAAACAATGCATAATGAACAGACCCTGACGCACAACAAGTTTACATTAAAGCAAAACCAACAACTGCGTACATAACAAACATATCTATATGAATGCAAAACGAACAATCATCTTAGCAGAACAAACGTACATAAAAACACTACAAACGAAAAAACTTAACAAACGGGCAGGCGGTAAATCTAGCCTTTATGACACCATTGGGATGTGATTTGCAAGTCTTTTCTTTGTCCTCCGTTTCGTGAAAGTAAGGGGACACTAAATCTCATCCGTCTGTAAGTCTGCCAGGTCTATCCGTCTGCCACAAAAACTTTAACTTTGGTCATATCTTTTGAATGGGACTTTCATATTACACATGTGTCTTTTACTCGTGACAAGACCTTTCTAAATACACTAAAAATTTTTATCCCCTTACCTTGATCTTGACGTTTGACTTTTTAACCAATAAAAGTCCTTTCTTAATTTTGAATTTTGACCTATTGACCTTGAAGTTTAAACTACTTTTCAGAAATGTTCCTTATGACTTTTGATTTAGAAGAGATAGGGCTTTCATATTTGACAGGTGCATAGCCTGTGGCAAGATATTTCCGAGCATGCTATGATTTCTGACTTCTTGACCTTCATGTTTGACCTATTCTTTTCCAAAACACCCCCAAAAACTTTAAAACTTTGGTGACAACTCTTGAATGACATATGAAAGGGCATTCATCATCTTTGACACAACATAAGTAATGACATATTACCCACAAAGACACCGAAAGCGGGGGACCACAATTCTTTGAATTTGCTTGTTTTGAATGCAAATTAAATATATAATAACCTGAAGGTCAAGGTCATTTATGATATCCAATGAAAGGCCCTGTCACAAGGATTAAATATTTGAAATATGAAAACGTTAGCCCTAACCCTATAAAAGTTATGGTCAAGGTTTGTTTTAAAAGTAGGTTAAACTCCAAGGTCAAAGGGTCAAAGTTCATGGTATCTAATGAAAGGTCTTTGCACAAGGATTACATATCTGAAGTATGAAAGTCCTCGCCCTTACCATTCAAAAGTTATTGTTAAGATTAAAGTTTTTGCACAAGTACGGAAATCTCCGAGGTCAACAGGTCAAATTTGTTGGTATCCAATGAAAGGTCTTGCCATAAAGAATGCATATGTAAAATATAAATGTCCTAGTTTATATTGTTCAAAAGTTATGGCCAAGGTTAAAGTTTTTAAAAGAATAGGTCAAACTCCAAGGCGAAGGTCAAAGGGTCAAAGTTTTTGATATCCAATGAAAGACCTTGTCACAAAAAATAAATATATGCAGTATGAAAGCACTAGCCCTAACTCTTCAAAAGTTTTGGTCAAGGTATATTATTTAAAGTATGTCAAACTCCAAGGTCAAGGTCAAAAGGTCTAAGTTCTTTGTATCCAATGAAAGGTCTTCTCATAATGATTACATATGTGAATTATGAAAGCCCTATCTGTTACCGTTCAAAAAATTTGGCCAAGGTAAAAGTTTTTTCACAGGTACAGAAATCACCAAGGTCAACGTCAATACGTCAAGGTCTTGCCACAAAGAAAGAGTTGAATTTTCTCAAATGCATGTCAAACTCCAAAGGTCAAGATCAGAAGTTATTCGTACCCAAAGAAGATCTAAATTTGTCACAAGAAATACACCTGTGAAATATGAAAGCCACAGCGTGACCCACTCGATCAAAAGTTATGAGCAAGGTTAAAGTTTTTGCGGACAAACAGACAGAGAGACGGACGAATAGGCCAAAAACTATATACATCTGGATCTTCGATTGAGAGGACATCAAAAGAATACTTGTAAAATAACAATAAAGCCATGATTAATTTTTAGTTCAATTGAGCAGAAGATTCAGTGAACTATTCTGATCAAAATTTATAAGTTGTCTGTCGTCGTCGTTGTAAACTTATCACAATCTGATCTTCTTCTCCAGAACTACTGGGCTAATCTCAACCAAACTTGGCACAAAACATCCTTTCAAAGGTGAAGGGGATTCAAGTTTGTTCAAATGAAGGTCCACGCCTTCTTCCAAGGGGAGATAATTACGAAATAGCGAAAAATCAATGGCACAGTTGAAAAATCTTCTTCTCAAAAACCAAGCGGCCAGGAGAAACTCACGTGGAACCAATGTCAGAAAGTGTAGAATCAAGTTTGTTCAAATCATGACCCTCCAAGGGTAGGGTGGGGCCACAATGGACGTTTAAAGTTTTACATAGGGATATGTAAGAAAAATCTTTTAAAAATCTAAATCTTCTCAAGAACAGTCAAGCTATGATTGTTCATATATGAAATTATTCTCAGATGGTGTGGATTCAAGTTTGTTCAAACCATGACTCCTGTAAGTATGGTGGCAGTCACAATGGACGACCCAAATTTTGCATAAGAGTATATAGGAAAAAAATCTTCAAAATCTAAATCTTCTCAAGAACAGTAGAGCTACAATTGGTCACATTTATAGGGAAGCATTCTCAGATGGTGTAGATTCAAGTTTGTTCAAATCATGACCCCAGGAGCAGGGTGGGGCGACACTGGACGATGAAAGTTTTACCAAGAAGTGTGTAGGAAATTTTTTTAGGGGTAGGTCGAACGGGACTAGTTGTGCAAAAAGCCTTTCAAATGCTAAACAGATTTTTACTTTTTTTCCTAGCCACAGTGCTCAAGTGAGCAATCTGGACCTTGGGCGTCTTGTTTTATTTCTATTTAATTTTTTAAAAATCTTTTTTAATTCACAAATTCTAAGACATATCTTTACATATTTTTTCTATATTTTTAAGAGAGATAAAGATTTAAGGATAGAGACAATCTAGTGACAGATAAAAAAGATATAAGAGAGAGGGAAAATTTACATAAACAGATTCCTCCACGGGTCCTGGTCTTCGTAAAAAGTTATCTGATTATTTTTCTTATAGGTAATATACTTATTTGCTTCATTCATATCTTTGATCGGGGATATCAGTTCATTCAAGGAGAGTTTTTTTTTATCACTACATGCCATATTTATATAGTAACATGCTTGAGAAGTGTTGATTCATGTTTGTTGAAGCCCCCCCCCCTCCGGGAATTTGTTTTCACCTTTGTTCTGATCAATACACCTGGATTAAGGATGGGGTTGAAATATTTTGCATATGAATAGGTATATCGGAGAAAAAACTGCTACTGAAGAACAGCAAGACCATTTTTATTCAGGCGGTAGACCCTGAGCCTCTTGTTTTATTTAGATATTGTTGCAATAGTCATGAGCGTTTTCATGCTTGGAAAAAGTTTTGCCGATTTAAAAAAATGCAAAACCGTAGAATTAGAGATTTTAATAATCAAATTGTTTAGAACTTTAATTTGTAACCCCTATCTTTATAGACAAATAGACAAAGAATGTGGAGATCTCTAGAATGTGACGAAAATATTTTCTTTTTTGGGTCATCCCATGACGGTGTACATAACGAAAGGAATGATAGTGAAATTATATAATAGGGTTTATCTCATAAGGATAAACTAGGTTATTTAGTGCAGTAATTACTGGTGCATAATTTTACTGGGCAAAGGGCAGTAACTCTTATAAATAAATCAATGGTGGTTTCCCTGTGGTGTACCCCTTTTTTCTATGACGTGATCATGCGCAAACTTGTCTTTGATTTGGTGAGCATGCGCTTTCAAATCTTCCTTTTTCTTCATCAACCCTCAGAGCAGAACACACGAAATTTTTGTGTCCGTCAAATTTTGTTTAAATCGACATCCATCATTGGCATCGATAAAATAAACTGGAAAGATGTTGCGAGCTCCCAGAAAATCGAAGTCCAAGAGTCCATATGCCCGTCCTAGCGGTCAAGCTGCTGCAGCCATCTCCACTGCGGTTAGGACCACGCCACGAACCCAGGCGGCCATTACACGGACTAGGCCTCAAAGCACTACAGCTACGTCAACCGTTTCGGCGACGGCGACGCTACCTCAGGTTCCTACTTTAACCACCGGTATTCCTGTTAGCAGCATGATGGAACAAGCCTTACAGACCCAGCCAAGTCAGCAGGACGTGGTTAACGAACAGGGGACTGGGAGCACAACTGACCCAGGTACAATACACACAGTTGATTCATTGGCTTTGCCTTTACCATTTATAAGTACAGCTTCCCCCTTAGGTGTTCATGTATCACAAAGTTTGAAAGAAAATATATATAACAATGAATTTGTTCATCTCAACAAACTACTATTTCATGACCCCACGTCTACACATACAAATCAAATAGTTTTTGAGGATGGTACATTCCAACTTAAACCCAAGATTAAAGAACAAAAAATTGTGAACATATCTCAGTGGGTGGATGCTTTTTTGATTTTTGGATCAATTTATTTAGTGAAGCATCCTACTGAAGCATTGTCTTTGTTCAGGTATATGGCAACGATAAAGAGGGGGGCAGATAATATTTATCAGGGTTGGCAAGAATATGACATTCAGTTTCGATTAAAAAAGTCATTCAACTCGGCAATCAGTTGGGCATCTGTGGATGCAGAACTCTGGTTAGTTTATATGCAACCACCAAGTAATAAAGCAAGTGGGAATCAGTCGAGAAATCCTCAAACTAGCTTAGCACCTTCTCGTTTAAAATGCTATAGTTTTAATTTTCAAGGGGTGTGTAATAAATACATGTGTAATTATTTACACCAATGTCTTAAGTGCAACGTCCTACATCCTATGAAAACTTGTATCAAAGGTAGCCAGTTTCAAACAACTTCAGTAAATCAGAATACAAACAATAATTATTACAGGAACAGTGGAAACCAGTTCCAGAAGGGACAAAAACATTAGTTTACAAGTGGCAAATGGTCTTCAGCTCCAGCTATGGGATTTGGGCAGATCACCTATAAATGTATCACTTTTAGAACAGTGTTACAAAATTACCCAGACCGTGAGAATGCCAAATGTTTGGCTAATGGTTTTAAATTTGGTTTTAAATTAAATTACCTTGGAGATAGAAAACGGATAGAATATAAAAACATGCTATCTACCCAACAATTTGTAAATGAGATTCAGGTCAAGATAGACAAAGAAATAGAGCTTGGGAGAGTGTTAGGCCCTTTTCCTTACCCTCCCATTTCTTATTTACGTTGTAACCCCATAAGTATTCTTCCAAAGAAACAAGGGGGTTGGCGCATGATCACCAATTTATCTTATCCTATAGGGGATAGTGTGAATGATTATATAGATTCAGAGTTGTGTTCGGTCAATTATTCAACTTTTGATGATGCATTAAAAGTCATTTCGGCCAAAGGTGAGGGGCATTTATGGCAAAAATGGATGTTTCAAATGCATTTAGGTTGTTACCTATATGTCCTCAAGATTTTTGTTTATTAGGTTTCAAAATTGCAGACTCGTACTACATAGACAAATGTTTGCCCATGGGCTGTTCAATATCTTGCTCATTGTTTGAAAAGTTTTCAACTTTTCTTCATTGGGAAGTGCAGCATAGATCAAATATTGAGAGTATAGTTCACTATTCAGATGATTTTTTATTTGTTGGAGAGAAATCTACAGATGAATGTCAAATATTAATGTGTTATTTTCAAGAACTCTGTCAAGGGCTGGGGGTTCCATTAGCTGTAGAGAAAACTGAGGGTCCAACTACTCGTATTTGTTTTTTGGGCTTAGGCATTGACACTATAACTCAAACGATTTTTATTCCAGAGGACAAAATAAAGGAATTGTTGTCAAAGATCCAAAATGTTCTAAGTTGTAAAAAGGTAACGCTCAAGCAGTTGCAATCCCTCGTAGGAGCATTGGCCTTTGTAGTAAAGGCATTACCAGCAGGAAGGGCTTTTTCTCGTAGGATTTATGGGCAATGGAGGGAGTTAAAAAATCATTTCATTTCATTAGAATAACAAATGAAATTAGAATGAATTTGCAGATGTGGGTTCAATTTTTGCTCAACTTTAATGGTACTACGCCATTTCCTTCGCAACATTGGCATGACAGTGAATTTTTAGAATTTTTTACAGATAGTTCAGGAGCATATGGTTGTGGGGTAGTATTTGGAAATCATTGGTTTTGTTTATCCTGGCCTACATACTGGTCTTCAGACATAATTAGGGATATAACATTACTGGAGCTTGTTCCCATAGTATTGGGTATTAGTATTTGGTCATCTAAACTTAAAAACCTTAAATTGTTGCTTCATGTAGACAATATGGCTCTAGTGCAGATTATCAATCAAAAAACGTCAAAAAACAAAAGAGTCATGGTGTTGCTACGTTTCTTAGTTCTGAAAACTCTTCAATTTAATATTCAAATTAAAGCGCAACATATAATGGGTGTGAAGAATAATGTGGCTGATGCAATTTCTCGATTTCAGTGGTCCAGGTTCAGGCAGCTAGCCCCTTTGGCAGATCGATTTCCCTCTTCGGTACCAATGCAATTTTGGGAAATTATGGAGAAACTATAAACAAACTTTTGCAAGATAGCATATCAGAAAATACTGGTAAAGTTTATAAACAAGGACTACAGAGTTTTTATAATTTTAGAGTCAATTGTGAATTTCAGCAAACCTGGCCTCCACCTCTTGACCATATTTTGAATTTCATAGCTTATATGTCTGAGCAGGGATGTTCCTTTTCTACAGTCAAATGCTACATATCAGGGATAAGTTTTCTAATTAATGTAAATGGTTGGAAAAATCCGTTAGAGTCTTTTTTGGTGAAGAAATTGATGGCAGGGTACAAAAAGTCGTCGTTGTCTTGTGATATGCGTCGACCAATCACATTGGCATTGTTGCACAGATTATTGAGTGCAGTACAGCATTTGGCTTTCTCAACATATGAAGCAGTATTATTTCAGTCATCTTTTGCCTTGGCATTCTTTGCATTGTTGAGAGTAGGTGAAGTTATAGATTTAAGAAGGGATGATATTCAGATTTTAGACAGGGGAATATCAGTGTTTATAAAAAGTTCAAAAACGGACCAATTAGGCTCTGGGGCTTCAGTTTGGGTGCCTAACACGTCAAAATCAGTACTGCTGATGAATTTGTGGAAGGAGTTTTCCCTGCTGTCTAGCAAAATTGATAGGGATGTGTATTTTGCCCACTTTAACTCAAAGCCATTGACATAGTTTCAGTTTTCTAGCATGTTACATAAATCCTTAAAATTTCTAGATATCAAAACTTCGAGTTACAAAACCCACTCATTTCGTATTGGGGGTGCTACTCACTTGTATTTGGAAGGGTTGTCTGAAAGTGAAATTCAACAAAAGGGTAGATGGAAATCAACAGCATATAAATCATACATTCGTCCTTTAAATACTTAGGTGCAAGTGTTAAGGTTATTGATAGAAATTACACAATATGTTTGATTGAAATTGATGCATTGATTTTCTACAGGGGTCATTTCGATTATAGGATCTTCAATTGTACATTGGGCACATAGCTATGCAGTCAAATCTAATCAGTCAGACCTGGGATTAGGCCAAACGAAAATATTGTGGCATGGAATTCGTGGAATGGTATGGGAGCAATTAAACCCAACATTAGACTTTTTATTAGTTAGTAACAGAACTCCAGATATCATTATTATTCACTGTGGGGGGAACAACATTGGACAACAGCATAACACTTTAAGAGGTATACAAATGATGATAAAGGCTAATTTAGCAAAGGTAAAAGAACGATTACCAAATTGCATTATATTTGGTCTCATATCTTGCAACGTAGAAACTGGTCAAATGTTGTAGCTAACACTGAAGGAGAAAAATGTAGGCGGAGAATCAATAGTTCAGTAGCATCTTTTGTATTAAATAAATTAAATGGAGCAGCTATTAAGTACCCAGGTATAACTGCAAATCAAAGAAATTTATTCCGCTCAGATGGTGTTCACATGACAGATTTAGGCAATGATTTGTTTATTAATACTGTAAAGGGTGCATTGAAACAATTTTTATCTTGTAAATTTCAAAACAGGACCTTTCCTTGAAATGGTTGTGCTTGTCATGGTTAGGTGTATATCGATATATGTGTTGTCATATAATTTGATTGAATTATTTTCAATTTGATCATGAGCGCATCTGTCGCAATTTTTATTATTTTGAATTTTATCATGAGCGCATCTGACGCAATTTTATCATGAGCGCATCTGACGCAATTTTACCATGAGCGCATCTGACGCAGTTTTATATTAAATTTTGAATGTTTGTGAATTTCACCTCTTTGTGTGCATTTTGTGCTAATACTTTGATTGTTTTGAATATTTCAATCTGTTGAAGGGGCAAAATTGCCGCCTTGTTTTATGGCGGATGGTACATTCGACTTTGTCTTATGTACCATTTGGCATAATTTTGCATAGAATACCGTCTCCGGGGGGTACTGTTGTCTCCAGGCTCCTTGGATCCAGGTGGTATTTCTATTGCTGTCTCATCTATATTTATGCTGCCATATAATTGTAATCGGCGCATATATTTGTGAATTACATATTAAAATGTACATATAATAAAAGGTCATGACAAGCACGCCAAACACAATTAAATGTTGTTTTTATTTTTAATGTGGTTGAGGCCAGGTTTATAGGATGGTGTTTTATAAAAAAAAGTTTAAGGTAAAAAGGGGGGATTTATAGTCACTAAATAATAGGGTTCATCTCATAAGGATAAACCAGGTTATTTAGTGCAGTAATTACTGGTGCATAATTTTACTGGGCAAAGGGCAGTAACTCTTATAAGTAAATCAATGATGGTTTCCCTGTGGTGTACCCCTTTTTTCTATGACGTGATCATGCGCAAACTTGTCTTTGATTTGGTGAGCATGCGCTTTCAAATCTTCCTTTTTCTTCATCAACCCTCAGAGCAGAACACACGAAATCCCTCCCACCCACCTCCAAAAAATAAAAATTTTAAGTTATAAATTCTGAGAATGGTGTCTTCTGTTTTTTCAATTTTTTTTTTCAGCGTCATGACCAGGACTTGTTAACAAGGGATGTCAGTGCCAGCGCCGATTGGTAGCCATGTGACAAACTTTTCGTCTAATGGACAGTTTTTTGCGTTTAATGGACTTGGCATAATTTTGCATAGAATACCGTCTCCGGGGGGTACTGTTGTCTCCAGGCTCCTTGGATCCAGGTGGTATTTCTATTGCTGTCTCATCTATATTTATGCTGCCATATAATTGTAATCGGCGCATATATTTGTGAATTACATATTAAAATGTACATATAATAAAAGGTCATGACAAGCACGCCAAACACAATTAAATGTCGTTTTTATTTTTAATGTGGTTGAGGCCAGGTTTATAGGATGGTGTTTTATAAAAAAAGTTTAAGGTAAAAAGGGAGATTTATAGTCACTAAATAACGCCAAATTTTTAATAAACAACTGTACATATGCATGTGTGTCGAACTAAATAAAAATGCACGTGTCTGGTCATACTATTAGCTAAGGTTGATTTATAAATCTTAAAGACAAAACAGATTGTGCTACTATTTTTTATTCATTCCCTAAATATAATTTACGTGATTTTGAGTAGAAAAAGAACTGCAAATGACGATGAAATGAATGAACAAGATGTGTTTGTGGAACACTAAGCGCCCGGCTGAGCAACAAAGTTCGAAAACCGCTATTTTTAGTATATAGGTCACAGTTAAGGTCACAAGGTCATTGGCCTTGGTGTGATTTGAAAGAACTTAGTAGTGGAGTATGCATACCAAATATGAAGTCTCTATCTGTCATGGTTAAAAAGTTATGATGAAGGTTAAAGTTTGCCTACAAAAAGCTATTTTTAGCATATATGTCACAGGGTCATTGACCTTGATGTCATTTGAAAGAGCTTAATTAGTGGAATATGCATACCAATTATGAAGTCTCTATCTTTCATGGTTTAAGAGTTATGGCGAAGGTTAAAGTTTGCAGACAAACTGACAAACAGACAGACAGACAGGACAAAAACAATATACGCCCTGAATCTATCGATCCGGGCGCATAAAAATATTGGAGAAAATTATTAATATTCTTTCTTGTAGGTTAGCATCACAAACATTTTGTAGGCTTGATTTACAGCGTGATGCATTCAAAAGATACATGTACTGGTACCAGACATATTAATCCATTTCCAATTCTGTATGCGTCGGTGCCTGCTCAGGCTATTTTAAATACCACAGGAATGTTGTCAATGATACCACAGTATTTGATAAATGTATTTGCTACAGTTCATCACAGATATTTCTGAACAATCAAAGGGCACACTGTACGTCTTCAACACAACTGAATCGGTTCTAATAGGGGTACAAGTATTTTTTGCTCCTGCTGTTTGTTTTACGTGTATCCATGTATATAATACACCCCCCCAATAGAAGATAAATAACAACAGTATTTCTAGATATATTTTTTCATACACTTTATTACATAATTATTGCATTTATTACATTATTTAGAACGCCGGTCATTGTTCCTCAGGTGCAGACTTCTGTTTTTCAGTAACCTGAAAACACAATATTATAATGACATTCGACAGCGATTAATCTACTACGAAAGATTTTAAACAAATTTTAAAGTTATTAACAGTAACCATAAATGTAATTACTAGTTATATCTTTCTGGTTACAAAATGAAAGATCACTAGATCGACGTACAGAGGAAGCAGTAATGGTTACCTTAAAGCTTATATATGATAAACTTTTTATTAACGGTGTATATATTGTATACAGGAAAATTGCCGATATCTGTCGGCTTTGCCCCTTTGTAAAAATATAGGTGTCACCATAAACGTTACGGTTTAGGCTCAACAACACTTCCGGTTGCCCCCGTTTTAATTTCGCCTTTCTCACAGGTGGGCGAATTTAAAATTGGGCGAAGTAAACGAATACTGATCAGAATTTTATCTTAATGATGAGTACTGTTATTGGACGAATTTAAAACGGTGCAAAATTAATTGTTTGCAAGTGTAAAGGGGCGAAAATAACATAGGGCGAAAATAACTCTGCATAATGTAACTATATAAAACGGCAAAATAACACGAGGCGAAAATAACCCTGCTTACAGTATATGAAA